ACCCCCTTCATATGCCTGATAGAGGGCAGGCTATCTAACCGCTCTCTGCTTCATCTTCCCCCCATACAAAATGGGATGGCAAGAGCACATCACGGTACAAGTGTGGGGCTTGACGGGGCTCAGGAAGGGCTTAGAATAGTTTGTCACCCTCCAGATGACCAGAGGGCGGGCTTTTGACATCCTCTATAAATCTACTGTCCTTGTATCATCAGCTGGCCCTAGTCTGCTCCCCGCTGTGGTGCAGACCCCCCTCCTGCACCTCCAAATTGCCCTCATCTGCATTACCAAAGATGTCTCCCCTCCATGGATTCCCACAGCTGAGAAGTGCCAGCTGTCCATCAAGACCTTTAGACAGGAAAGATAAGTCACAGCAGCCTTTCTCTCTTGTGGGTGTCTTTACCCACTGTGGGGAGTGGCTCTGAGCCACCTCATGACTTGATCCAAGCCTATTCCAGGCGTCCAGAGCTCTCCTGCCCAACCGCTCACTTAGACATTGCCAATTGTTTAGAATTTGCTTACAAATGAGAGGATCATGTCCTCTTTCCCCTGGCCAAGGTAAAAGTCTCCACTGAGGCACTCATTTCCTGCCCTGGTCCAACCATGCCTGGGATGACCGAGAAGAGAATGTCCCAAAGTCCCTACACCGGGAGAGGAAATTTTCCTGGATCCTCTTCAGGATATGTGGACTAACTGATGATAAGTGTATGGGAGGGGGAGAATGCAAATTTGTTAAAGTGCAAAGGGGAAAAGCCATGGCTTAAGACGGGGACAGTCATGGATATGGCCATTCACTTTCCGAACGGGATTTTAAAATGTGTACATTGTGGTAGTTTGAATGTAATTGGTCCTCAGAAGCTCAGAGGAAGTGGCACTATTAGGAGGTATGGCCTATGTGTTGGAGGAAGTGTGTCACTGTGGGAGTAGGCTCTAAGGAGGGGGAGGAGTGATCTGGACAGACTCTGTTTGGAGTTCAGATGAGTGCAAGGGACAGACATTATTTAGTAAGGACCCCCTGCAGGTGAGGTTAATCTCCTGTCCTTTCCAGCTAGCTCATGGGGTTTTCCTGATGGAAGGCAATCGTTCTCTCTCTATAGTCTCGTCTTGATGAAGATAAAGAAACTTGTGGGGAAAGTCTTGGTTTGCAAGAGACTTGACTCTAGAGGGGCTCCCAGGTCCAAGAAGAGGTCCCCAGATTGTTCTTTGGGCAGCAGAGGAGAGGATGACTGAACTGGCCTTGTCCCATAGCCATACTGATGAATATCTTGCATATCACCATAGAACCTTCATCTGGCGATGGATGGAGATAGAGACAGAGACCCACATTGGAGCACTGGACTGAGCTCCCAAGGTCCAAATGAGGAGCAGAAGGAGGGAGAACATAAGCAAGGAAGTCAGGACCACGAGGGGTGCGTCCACCCACTGAGACGGTGGGACTGATCTAATGGGAGCTCACCAAGGCCAGCTGGACTGGGAGTGATGGAGCATGTGATCAAACTGGACCTTCTGAATGTGGCTGGCAATGAAGGCTGACTGAGAAGCCAAGGACAATGGCACTGGGTTTTGATTCTATTGCATGGACTGACTTTGTGGGAGCCTGGTTTGTTTGGATGCTCACCTTTATAGACCTGGATGGAGAGGGAAGGACCTTGGACTTCCCACGGGGCAAAGAACCCTGACTTCTCTTAGGACTAGAGAGGGAGGAGGAGGTGGGGAGGGAAAGGGAAAAGGGAGGCGGGGAGGAGGTGGAACTTTTTAATAAATAAATAAATAAGAAAGTCTTGCTCATGACTTTGGGTAAAAGAATCCAGGAGACCTTTAAAGTCTTTTCATTTTCCTCAGTTCAAATGGGTCAGCATGCTAAAGAAGAAAAAAAATCCACTATATTTAGGGGTTGTCTTTCCCTGAGTCCCAACACCATATTCCATCTACCAGGGTATGGAATGACTTAATCATGACAAGACAACCTCAGTTCCACTAAGGTCTGATCTAGGGACTGTCAGGAAGAGCGGGTATCACTTCCCATGAGCATCACCAGTGGGTTCTTACCAGCAGCCCTGGATGGTCAGCATTTCCAAACATCTTAAGGTTCCATCTTATCCAAAGCACTGTGAGCCAGGGGATTTTGGCGTGCTGAGAGGTCCAGGTGGTGATGTAGGAGTCAGTGTTCCTGGCCCCATCAATGACTGTTCTAGCTGTCTTACAGTTTTGAAAGAATGTGGCAGTCCCTCTGGGAACCGATTCTATTTATAACATCGTTTCTATGGGAAAGTGTTCCAAGCCACAGTCAGTCTGAGAGGAATAGCTAGAGAGAGCTGATAATTGTTTCTTCACATGTAGGGATTGCACTGAAGCTTTTTAAAAAAATCTAGTAAAAACAAATAGAGTGAGGATAAATCGGATGTTGTGCCATGCATTTTTAGAGGAGTTTCAAAAGTCATCTTCTTAAATAAACAAAACTTAGTTAAATGGTAATATTTATCGAGCTCTTGTTGCTCACAAGCAACTGAGTTAAGGCTGTATATGTTTTACCTCATTCAGATGTCCCCAAAGATAATAAAAATCGGACTCCATTGATTCCACTTATTAATTTATATTATTTATTTATTTTCAGATTCTTATGACCCAAGCTGACCTTGAACTCATGACTCTTCTCCTAAAGTGCTAAGACAGATGTCAACTGCCTGGTGCTCTGACCTGTTTTTGTTCTTTTATCACTTATGGCTTTCAGTCTGGACAAACTAAAGAAAGAGCCCTTGATTCTCCTTGGCCCTCGTGGAAATTCAAACCATGTATATATCACCTGCAGAGAGGAATCCTTATCCCCTCTGCATCCTTCTACCACCACAAAAATGCTTCTACCACTATGACAAAACACGTGGGAGAAGCCACTTTAAAATAGCAAAGGTCTCCAGGCTCTGGCTATTACAAATAATGCTGCTATGAACATAATGAAACAACCTAGATGCCCCTCAACCAAAGAATATATAAAGAAAACGTGTCACATTTATACATTAGAGTACTACTCAGCTGTAAAAAACAGTGACATCTTGAATTTTGCATGCAAATGGATGAAATTAGAAAACACTATCCTGAGTGAGGTAACCCAGACCCCAAAGGATGAATATGGTATGTACTCACTCGTAAATGGATACTAGCTATAAACAAGGGATACTGATCCTAGAGAAGCTAAGTAATAAGGTGAACCCTGAGGAAAACATATATAGATTCATCTGGAAAGGTAAAATAGACAAGATCACCTGACAAAATTGGGAGTATGGGGGTCGGGGGAGAAGGGAGGGTGGAAAGGGAAGAGGAGGGGAGAAAGGAAAGAGTGAGGAGAACTTGAGGGAACTGGATAGTCGAGAAGGAGGAAGGACAGAAATGAGAGCAAGGAAAGAGATATCTTGATTGAGGGAACCAATATAGGGTTAGCAAGAAACCTGGCTCTAGAGAAACTCCCAGGAATCCACAAAAATGACATCAGCTAAGACCCTAAGCAATAGAGGAGAAGGGACACAATCTTGACTTGCCCTGTAGTTAGACTGATGAATATCTTAGATATCACCATAGAGCCTTCATCCAGCAACTGATGGAAACAGAGGCAGAGACCCGCGTAGGAGCACTGGACTGAGCTCCCAAAGTCCAGTTGAAGAGTGGGAGGAATGAGAATATCATTCCATCAAGACCGTGATGGATTTACCCACTGAAACAATCTACCTGAGCTAATAGGAGCTCACAAACTTCAGTCGGACAGGGAAGGAACAAGCATAGAACCAAACTAGTCCCTCTGAATGTGGCTGACAGTTGTATGGCTGGGGCAGACTGAGGGGCCACTGGCAGTGGCACTAGGATTTATCCCTACTGCATGTACTGTCCTTTTGGAAACCTATTTTCTTTGGATGGATATATTGGTCATCCTAGATATAATAGGGAGGGCCTTGGACCTTGGGCATCCCTAAAACAATGTCCCTTACCCTCTCTGAGGATTAGATAGGGGTGGGGTGGGAGGGTATGTGGAGGGAATGGGAGAAGAGGAGGGAGTGGGGACTTGGATTGCTATGTATAATGAAAAAAAAATAGTTTGTTTTCTTTTAAAATATAAATAAAATAGCAAAGGTCTCTGTTGGCTCTTGATTTCAGAAGTTTCTGTCCCTATCTGCTTGGTTCTGTTGCCCTGAACTGTGGTAAGTTAGAAAACTGTGCTAGACCACGGTGCGGCAAGCTGCTCACATTGTGGGGTCTGAGCAGCCTTGGGTCCAGGGGTTCACTTTACTTACTTCTTACCTTATACAGTGTCTTCCTAGAATATACCAGTTCTTTTTTTCCAGAAGTTCACAGAGCAGAAGGGCACTAATACCCCTTTGGCCTTCCCTACCTCCGGTCAATACTGTCTTTTGAACTTTAGTGAAGAGAGCTATATCAAGGGCTTTTATCATTGCTAATTGTTAGTAGATACTGACCCCAGACCCTGTTTCAAGGGCTTTCCAAACCTGGTTTGTGTTGGTTGTTTTGACTTTGTTGTGATTGTGGTTATGTGGTTGGGTACTGGGAATTGAACACAAGGATGACCTTGAACATGAGATCCTCCTGTCTTAGCCTCCTGAGTAGCTGGGATCACAGGTGTTAGGGACTGTGGGCCCCCAGACCCTGAATTTCCTGTGACCCCTTGCCTGCCAGAGTAAACAACTCATTTTCCTATGCTTGCAGCTGCTCTGAGCAAACAACCTGTTTTGCAGCTGCTCTGAGCACCAGACCCTCAGGAGTTCCTGATGGCAGGGGAGTGGTTTCTGGTGGGCTTGCAGCTGAGAGTTAGAGCGTGCCCATTACTTAAGGAGACCCTGTGTAAGCTGCCCTGGAACACAATAAAGTGATGGAGGAGGGCTATCTGTCTATTGTGTTATTTTCATTGGTCAATAAAGAGACTGCCTTGGCCCTTTGATAGGACAGAAAATTAGGTAGGCGGAGTAAACAGAACATAATGCTGGGAAGAAGGGAAGTGAGGTAGACGCCATGGAGCCAGCCACCAGGTCAGACATGCTGAATCCTTCCTGGTAAGCCACCACCTCGTGGTGCTACAAAGATTATTAGAAATGGGTTAATCAAGATGTGAGAGTTAGCCAGTAACTAACTCTCTAGAGATAATGGGCCAGGCAGTGTTTAAATGAATACAATTTGTGTGTTGTTATTTCCGGGGCTAAGCTAGCCGTGCGGGAGCCGGGCAGGATGAAAAGCAGGCCTGCCCGCAGCTCCTCACTGCAATAAAGGAGCATTCTTGGCTGTCTGTGTGTGCCTGAGTGTTTCAATCTCCAGCCCCTTGCCAAACTGGCATACCATACTGTAGCACGTAGTGCGTAGAGCAGGCGTTGCACTACACACAGGCCTGAGCCACCAGATCAGATTTCAGTGTGTGTTAAGTTGTATTGCCCTCTTAACAGCCTTGTGAGCTAAATGCCTTTATTATTACCATTGTTATAGATAAGGGAACTAAGAAAAGACAAAGTTAGCTAGCTTCCTTGGTCACCCCACTAAAATAATTGACAGTTTGGGATTTGAACAGAGGCAGTCTGGTTCAGAGTCCATATCTTAGCACAAGGCTCTGATGCCTTTTCTATGGTATACAGATAAAGAGGTTGATAACTAATTCAGTCTCTAAGGATTTAATTCTTGCCACTGCTTAACTGGATGGCTGCTGTTTAAGGCAAAAGCTGTAGTAATGACACATATGTGGGTCTCACTAAAGTTTCCGTATTATCCGCTTATTCACTCAATATTCTTAGTAAGGAAAGACAACGTTGGCTGTCTTTGACACATCTGTCTCTTTCTCCAACAACCAGGCACTTGACTTTGCGACCACAGGGCTCCAGAGGAGACATTTGATTGGCTTGCAATCAGGAGGAGTTGCTGAGTTCCCAAGAGTCCCTGCAGTATCACCATTGACCTAAATACTGCACCAGCCATCATTGCCCAGAGGCCCGGGTTTTTCAGCAATTGCCATGGAAACCTAGAATTCTTATTCTCTGCCTTGTGCCATATGTCTGAGTAAAGGTACAACAAGGAAAATAACGATCTATAATTTCTCATAGGAAAGTCCCTCAGATTCACAGCAACAGAAAATATATATTCCATCTGCTTTCTCTCCCAGCTTTCCAGCAACTCCTCTGTAGCTAATAAATGAAACTGTTACGTTGTTGACAGATGTTTCATTGTACAGGATTCTTGGAAATACAATTATACAGAAAGTTAGAATTAAACCACCTCAAAAAAAATAAACAAAGAGCAACAACTGTGCATCAGCTGAGTTCAGCATGGGGTGCAGCACTCACACTGTGCATCAGCTGAGTTCAGCATGGGGTGCAGTGTTCACAGTGCTCACACTGTGTATCAGCTGAGATCAGCATGGGGTGCAGCGCTCACACTGTGCATCAGCTGAGATCAGCATGGGATGCAGTGTTCACACTGTGCATCAGCTGAGATCGGGATGGGGTGCAGCGTTCACACTGTGCATCAGCTGAGATCGGGATGGGGTGCAGCGCTCACACTGTGCATCAGCTGAGATGGGCATGGGGTGCAGCGCTCACACTGTGCATCATCTGAGATCGGCATGGGGTGCAGTGTTCACACTGTGCATCAGCTGAGATGGGCATGGGGTGCAGCGCTCACACTGTGCATCATCTGAGATCGGCATGGGGTGCAGTGTTCACACTGTGCATCAGCTGAGTTCAGCATGGGGTGCAGGGTTCACAGTGCTCACACTGTGCATCAGCTGAGTTCAGCATGGGGTGCAGTGTTCACAGTGCTCACACTGTGCATCAGCTGAGATCGGGATGGGGTGCAGTGCTCACACTGTGCATCAGCTGAGTTCGGCATGGGGTGTAGCGCTCACAGCGCTCACACTGGGCATCAGCTGAGTTCAGCATGGGGTGCAGTGCTCACACTGTGCATCAGCTGAGTTCAGCATGGGGTGCAGTGCTCACAGTGCTCACACTGTGCATCAGCTGAGATCGGCATGGGGTGCAGGGCTCACACTGTGCATCAGCTGAGATCGGGATGGGGTGCAGCGCTCACAGTGCTCACACTGTGCATCAGCTGAGATCAGCTTGGGGTGCAGTGCTCACAGCGCTCACACTGCACATCAGCTGAGATCGCGATGGGGTGCAGTGCCCACACTGTGCATCAGCTGAGATCAGCATGGGGTGCAGAGCTCACACTGTGTATCAGCTGAGATCGGGATGGGGTGCAGCGCTCACACTGTGCATCAGCTGAGAGCAGCATGGGGTGCAGTGCTCACAGCTGGAGGAATGTTGAAAATCATCTTTTATTTCAGTCTGGGTACCAGAGGCAAGATTTGCTTCTTTTAAATTGGACCCTGATCCTGTCTCCCTTTAAAGCCTCAGGCAAATCATTTGCCCTTGCCCATGAACAATGTTAGCTTAATAATGGCGTCCATGCAGAGCTGTTAGAAGATAAAAGAGCCTGGGAGGATATTTTTTGTGGGGGATAGGATTTTTGTGGGACATGGTCATTCCTTTGAGGAACTAGATCAAAGCCAGGGGTTAAGTTTTGGACCTGGAAGGCAGTGCTCTGCTCAGTGGTTTCCAGTTGGCCTGTGGAGTCCTGGGTTTCTTCTGATTTCCCTTGGAAGCCACAGAGACAAGAGACAAATTGATACCTCTCATTTATTGGATATTGAACTGAATATTTTCATAAAGCCGATTTTAGAAAAGGATTCCAAGATGTGCATATTCAGAAGGCCCTAATGTCACCCATCCATCTCATTTTATACATGAGGACGTAGACCACTGGGCTAAGGGCCTGGGAGATACTCAGAGCTGTGGTTGGAACTCAGAAGGTTCCTGCTTCCCCAGCCTGCCATGCCCTTGGTGGTCATTTGTGTGTTTGAAGAAATCAAATACGATCACCTATGTACTACTCAGAGATGGGGTTCAGAGCAATGCCTCCATCCCCCAGACTGAACCTCACTCTCCTGTCTGTTTGCCCCTTGCTTCTCTAACTGTATTTCCATTTGGCTCATTGGATTTGCTGCCTAGTGCAACTTTTCCAGCAGTAATCTGTTGCTCCCCAGGGAGATAATTATTATGGACAAATGTTTGTTTCTTAAAGGTTCCCAGCATTCTGTACTGGGGAATGAAGCATGCAGACACCTATCAGCGAGGTCTAGACCTTGTTAATCACAAAATAATTGTCCCTCATGTGGCCCCCTTCAAATATGTGAGTTTCCTGTAAGGTGTGCAGCAATAATTAAAGAACGCCTGTACCTCTGAATAGCCAGGCCACCATGGCTCTGAAGCTGCAGGGACTGTGCAGATCATTAACCTTCTAAAGACCCCATGGTTGCCAGCACTAGACTAGAATTCTCAATCCTGCCTGCATTATCTTGAGCATTTACTAGAAACTAGAAAACTGTAATCTCTATAAGTCTCCAGGTCCAGTTATTCTCCCTACTCCACAGAGATGGAAACCGAGGTTCACAGAGCTTACATCAGAGCCATGGTCCCGTAGAACTATCAGGAACATCAGTCACTTTGTTCTCTTTGAAAATGGACCCATACGGAGCACAGCGCAGCAGCCCTGGGTTAAACGAATCCCGTCCTTGCAGAGCTGGTAAATGGCCAAAGCTGGACTCACCCCAAGGACTACCCAAGGCCTGTGATCTAAGCATCTGTTCCAGCAGTCCAAGTCAGTGTGCAGATGCTGCGAGCCTTGTAGCAGTATCAAGCCAAGAAAGGATGTAGCGGCCTGTCAAGTACCAGGCACAACTCAAACCCAAGACAGGTCCCCAGGGAGATTCCATTCATATGGATGTTCCCTTCTCCTTCTGAACTTCCTCACTTACAGATGTGAATGTTAGTTCCACGGTATAACTTTAACTTTTATTCTTAAATGATTTGAAGCAAGCAAACAAAAAAGAAGTCCCATCAAGAATAAAAACTCTCTTGAGACACTGAGATGGTTTACTAGCAAAAGCAGCACTGTGGCAAACACACACACACACACAAAATAACAACAATAGCAATAATAATGAAATTTAAAATAAGAAACTCCCCCATCCCTGCCTTGACTCACCAATTAGCTACATTTTGCCACACTCATGTATTTCCCACCATTCTTCTATCTCTCCTGCTCTCCCTCCCTCCTCTTCTATTTTCAGGTATCACATTTACACACACACACACACACTCTCTCTCTCACACACACACACACACCAAGTTTGAAACAGTCTCACCCCAGATGCACTGAAGCATGGAGCTGAGACAGAACTCAAAGTCCAACAAGCTGTATTTCGACAGTTCACCAGGTGATTATGATGTTTGTGTTCGGCGAGCCTCAATCCGATGGTGCACACATGGGGTGGGGTGGGGGATGGGGTGATTGCTTCATGAACTCACCATTTCTTCCTCACAGAAGAGACACTGAGAAGGACTGGGAAGTATAGCTCGGTTGTCTCTATGATTGACAATGGCATACATGACCCATCGCTGAATTTTGCTTCATTCAGCCGATTTAGATAAAGAGATGCTGTAGGTTCAGGTAAATTGTAGCCCTCAGTGTGATAATTAAAGATTAATTGTGACTTGTCAAGCTCATTTCTGTGTAGTAAATACCTCTGCACATTTTTTTCGACTTTTATTTTTCAAGACAAGGTTTCTCTGTGTAGCCCTTGCTATCCTGGAACTCACTCTGTAGGTTAGGCTGGCCTTGAACTTGGAGATCAAGGCAGCATTTGCTGCCATCACCACCACCTGGCCTCTGAAAATACGTAAGCCAGAAAACTCAGGAATACCACCATGACAGGGAAACTGGGTAATAGAATTTCTGGGTTTAACAAAATAGCATATGACTATAGGTAGAAGTTTTCCTGTCCTGACCACCCACTCCCAGATAAGCACACTGAGACTTATATTAATTGTAAATGCTTGGCCAATAGCTCAGGCTGTTTACTGCTAACTCTTACACTTAAACTAACCCGTATTTCTTATCTATGCTTTTGCACGTGGCTTGGTACCTTTTCTCAGTACCAGCTTCTCTCTGTCTCTGCTGGGGACTCCTCTGACTCTGCCCTTCCTCTCCCCAGTATTCTTTCTGTATCTGGCTGTCCCGCCCAATCTCTTTTTGCCCTGCTATTGGTCAATCCGCTTTTTATTAACAATGAGAGCAATAAAACATATTTAGAGTGCACAAAGGTCATTCCACAGCATAGGACACTTTCCCAAGGACAAACACTTGAAGAAAATTTCCCCTTTCTAGAAAGCAGTTCCATAAGGTCATTGACAAAATCATCATCCACACAAAACTCCCACAGTCTTCACAAACACAAAATCACATCTCTCCCTTTAAATAAATGATTCAAGGTTTACATCCCAAGGAGTTAAGATTCCCTGAGGAGTGGGGTGAGATGTGGGTGTGGAGTGGAGCCTGAGGTTCTCTAATAGGTTGATGACAGGGTTTCGAATAATTGTTTACTCTGTAGTCTGTGTCCATATGAGCCGCCATAAAACAGGCTGTCCCTGGTTGTGTATACAGGGCAGGCATATTCTTCTAAAGAAGGAATATGGGAAATACTTGTCTGGGCTGTGAAAGTGTGAGCACATTGCTGTGAAGCAACCTTTGAAGGAGATTTCTTGGTTTAAAAAAGGGGGGGGGGGGAATCCAATCAATGATCAGGAACAGAATTTCAAAACCTCAATGGTACTTGGAGTTTTTCTAACTCGAGCCTTCAAGTCAATGGAAATGAGGAGGGAAGAGATGAAAGGCAATCATTTCTTGAGGCCGATAACCTTTAGAAATTGAAAGCTTTCATGTTTATTCTAAAACAGAAAGGATTCCCTAAAGGGGGACAGTGGTAGCACACACCTTTAATGCCAGCTCTTGGGAGGCAGAAATAGGCACATCTCTGTGAATTCAAGGCCACCCTGCTCTACAGATGGAGTTCCAGGACAGCGAAACTGTCTCAAAAAATATTTTAAAAATTCTACCTCACCAATATGCCAGACAACAAAGATGAGAGAAAAATAAAAAGCCCAAACAAGTCTGAAGTTTTCCCTCTATTGGCAAACTGCTTTTTGAAAACTCACTATATACAATAACATTTTGCTCTGTGTGTGTACGTGTGTGTGTGTGTGTGTGTGTGTGTGTATTCGGGTGTGCATACATATGCATTCATAGGCCAGATA